AAGGGATAGATAATATGTTTAATAACTAGCCAGTCGAAGTCTGAAAACAGATAAACAATATATGCTATTAGTAATATAGATTAATTAAACATATGTTCTTGTAAACGTAAATAAAACTTTGGATTTGTTTTAATGCGAACAATTATAATAAAGCTGCTTTTATTGTGTTAAATACAGTAATTGTTTAATTTTCAATTCAATGCTTAAAACAGTATTGACATAAATTTACTAGAATTCACTTTGTTGATTAAAAACATATTGGTGATTTATTTACAACTTTTAATTTGTTAGTTTTTTTTTAAAAAAAAAAATTAATTATTTTATTTTTTAAGAAAATTTAATTGTGTTTATCAAAGCTAAATTATTATGTCTATTATTCGAGTTATGGCCAAAAACTTGGGATCTTTGCTAGAAAAATGACTCTCTGAGACTATTTTGATTTTGTAAATAAAAATTAAAATTGCCAGTCATCTAGTTATCCAATTTGGATGAACTTTTTTTTGGTTTGTGAAGCTAAATAAGCTCTACAAAATAAAAAAAATTATTCAAATCGAATAACTAGATGATCAGCAAATTTAATTTCTGTTCACAAAATCCATATAGTCTCAGAGGGTTATTTAGGCTATTATGACATATGCAGTTACGACACTTTTGATCTTTTTTGATGTAACTATACATTCTCAAGTTTCTGCATCTATACTTCTAGCATATAAAGCTGTAAAATTACTGGCATTTTATATAATTATGTAAATTTGCAATTATCATTATATAATTTCAATTTTAAACACATAATGCCTTTGTAGTAGAAAAAGTTTGGATTCAGAAATATAATTTGAAGATAATTGTGCTTATTTTGTTTAAATTGATCTGGATTTAATTAAAATTTTGAATTAGTGATTATTTAGTTAATTTTGTAACAATGAGCTTTCTTGTATATCTTAATTTTTTTATTGATAAACATGTCCTGTACTAAATTTTATCCGAATTTTGCAAAACCGAGTTTTAATTTTCTATAGTTTTAGAGACCAAAATTCTTAATGATTGAGAAGTCATGATGTGGATTATATATTCAAATTGAGTAATGCAATAATGCTGGTTGAACATTTGTAAAGCTGTACTTTATATATCAGGTGGGTGAAAGTAACTGGACAGGGATCTTTTTTACTGTCTTTGCTAATATTAAATTTTGTAGTTATTTATTATATCTATATAATGCTGATATAATGTTAGAATAATAATCAAAATTAATTAGCAATTAAAAAAAGGTCATGTTTTATCTACTCGGTATAATGTGAAGAAGCTTAAGTAAAATTATGTATAATGTAAGATTATAACTTACATAGCATAATGTTACCAGTATATTCTTTAAAATTCAGTTCAGAATTTATTGGATTTATAATTAGCCAACATTTTACTGATGTATTCTATTTGTTAGGTGGAAGGATTGTACAATTATTTTGTGTAGGTATATTTGGCTGATATTATAATGCTGGTTTAAATTCTAATTTAGAAATTTGATAATTGCTCTTCAAAAGATTTTAGGTTAAGATTTTTAGTGCTATAGATAATGGTTCATGCTACTATTTTATTTTAGAATTTACTATTTTACTTTTCATACTTGTGATTTTTCATTCTCTTTCTGGTATTTATATTTCACCAAGTCTTCATGAATTTATCTCTCCATTCTATTTCTGATATTCATGATCACATGATTTCTTACTTTTCAATATCTCATCACATTTTATTTAGTGAGTAAACAGCTAATGCTAATTTATTACTGTAATCAAATAACTCTAGTGATCTGTTGAATGTCATAATATCAGTGCATGTCTATGATTATTTCATTCTCTTTTTTGATGAACAGTGATATTATTATTTCAAGTCTACAAAAAATAGCACATATTGTAATTAAGATAAAGATCTGTTTTATGAAGTGTCACTATTCATCACTTTATATATTACTCAGTACTAGCATCATAAATATTATTCAACACCTGCACTTTTTTATTATCCAGTTCTTCTTTATTATTAAGATACTAATTATCTATAAATCGAATCAATAAATAATAGTGGTAAAAGGGCTCAAATGTAATTCACACAATTTCTGCAATGTAACATTATAAGAGTTAGGATCTTTTCATTATAAACAGGTTTATAAGATTTATAAATATACTTCACAATTATAATATGCACAAAAGAGTTTAATTAGGAAATTACAATACAATTACATACTGAATAAATAATTTTCAAGCAGTACTGTGAAATATAAATTATCTGGAACCACAGATTTGGATTCCAAAATTCATATGAGTTTCCATTCAGAGATTTTGATGTTATTACAACTTGAAAAGGCTAAATACCAAATTTAGTAGACAAGAGATCGATTCAGAGCTATTAAATCTTAATTATTCTCATATTGTGTGAATTTGAGATTCAAATTGTTCCTGTATTGATGATAAGAGTTTACTAAATAAAATTAAAGCTTGTTAGTAACTAGAATTTTTAAATTAAGTATCGATAAAATAATTGTTATCCTTTAAAACAACATTACACTAAGCAAGTAAATGTTTAAGTCACTAGTTCTAGTTTTGCATCCAAATATCAGTAAATTAGATCTTATATTATTGTACTTTAAATATATAAAAAAATAACTATTTAATAAAGTAAAAAATAAAATTTTAAGTATCTATGGTGTTATACAAAATGTCTAAAGATTTATCACAAAAAAGATCAAAAACAGCCATTAATAAATATTTAAAATGAGAAATATGTAAATATAATAAAAATAATCCTAATAAAATACAAACAGATATTGCAAAACACTTCAATTCTCAAGATCCTAACTTAAATTTAGATCATTCTATGATTTCTAAAATTTTAAGAAATAAATCAAAATGGTTAGCTATTATAGAAGATCAATTAAGTTTTACGATTTTTCAACATAAACAAGTGAAATATCCTAAATTAGATCAATCTATGAGGCTATGGATTGAACAAATTACTAATAGAGAAATGATTCTAACAGAATTAATGATTAAAGAAAAAGCAATCTATTTTGCAAAAGCCTTGAATTTGGGTGATGATGCTTTAAAATTTTCAAATGATTGGATTCAAAAATTTAAACAATATAATAATTTTAGAAATTTTAAATCGCATAAAGAAGCAAATAGCGCATCATTATCTTTACTCCCAAAATATAGACAAAAATTACATGAATTGATTGAAAAATATATGTTAGATAATGTGTTTAATGCAGATGAAACAGGGCTCTTCTTCTGTATAGCACCAGATCAAACACTTACATCATGATCAAGACCTGGGTTTAAAAGGTTAGCTAAATATAATACTAAATTATAATTAAAGTTAATTATAAAGTTAGTTTCTTGGTTTTTATAACATAATATTAAATCATATAGATAGTGCAAATCATCTATGTATATATGTAGTCATATTAAAATCTGCATTACTTAATTACTAAGTAATTAAATTTATTAGCTTTTGAAAATTTTTTTTTTTTTTTGAATTGTATTTTTCTAAAGAATAATAAAATTTTTCAAAAAAAAGTGTAACTTTGTATGTCTTGTTTAAAACTGTAAAGTTACACTTTTATTTTTTGAATTTCTAAATATTCATTAAATTATAGTTCTGAATGTTCTTGGATGATTTGCACCATACAAATTTTATAAAAGCTTTTAAAAAATCAACCTGAATATTAAGACATAAAAAATCTTTCAAATTTTAATTTGGCTAAGTTATAACAACTAATTAATTAATTTTGTATGATCTTAATTATTATTTTTAAAAACTAACCTTAAATGTTAATTAGAATCATTTATGGGTCATGGTTATGCTAGCATGTAATGCAACTAGAAGTGAAAAATTAAAGCCATTAGTAATTGGGTCTTTAATCTCGCCTTGTGCACTTTTTTGTATTAATTATAATTATTTACCTGTTGTTTATCATGCAAATTCTCAAGCTTGAATGTGAAATAACATATTTTCCAAATATTAAAAGGTTTAGATCAGATATTTTGAATTCAAAATCATCAAGTTTTATTATTAGTAGATAATGCTGCTTCACATTTTCATGATCAATCCAATATTAATAACTCATATAAGTCAGATGAATCAAATTCTGATTTAGATGAAATATCTGATGATGATCTAGCATCTGAAATGCCAACTGTTTTACATGAAAATTGCTAAGAGTGAGGTCAACCAAGACTAACTAGAACCAATTAGAGTGCAAGTAATAGTCATGGTAATCATAATCATGGTCATAGTATTGGTAGTAGTAAGGATCATTATGATAGTGATTATGATTATCCGCATACTATATTTGATTATTTAAATGTAAAATTAACTAATATTAAACTTGGATTTTTGTCACCAAACACTATTGCCCATCTTCAGCCAATGGATGCAAGCATCATCAAAAGTTTTAAGTCTAAATATAAGCAAAAATATATCCAATATATACTAACACAATTTGAGAATAACAAGAATTTAACAAAATAAAAACTTACATCTTAATTATGCAATAAGTTTTTTTTTAATTAGCCTGAATTAAAGTCATTCAGCATATTGCTAATATATACTAGAGATGTGATTCAGATTTATTTTATATATATAAAAATCAGTTTGAACTGATTTTTATAATAAAAAATAAATCCAGATCACACTTCTAATATATACTATTAATTTAATCATATGAAAAAATTTTATAGCTTATCGGGTAACTTTAATCTAGTTGAAAATAAAATTATTATTATTATTGTTTTTTTTTTTAAATTACTAATTAATTTTAATTTCAATTAGAAAAAAGATAAATATAAAAGATGCTATTTACTATATATCTGAGTCTTGAGATGCTGTTAGAAATCAAATGATTGTCAATTATTAGAATAAAACTGGAATTTTGCCATCAGTTTCATATGAAGAAATTGAAGTTGCTATTAATAGTCAAGATATATTATTGGAGCAACAAGATAATGATGTTAATGTGTTGTTAATAGATTTGATGTTTTAAAACCCGAGTCCAAAAATAAAAAATTAATTGAATGAATATTTAGATCTCAATAATTTGTGTATTATAACTGAAGATAAACTTGAAGATTCTGAAATTGTTGAAATAGTTTTGGATAAAGAAAATCAAAGTAAAAATGGAGATCCAGATGATTCAGATAAAGAAGAATTAGAAATTCCAGTATTAGAGGGTTTAATGAGTTTAAATAAGTTCATTTGTTTTTTTGAACAACAAACCGATACAGATTTCAAAGCTGAGGATCTTAAAATATTCTGAAAATATTTAACTTTAATGAAGCAAAAATATAATGAATCTAAACACCAAACATCTATTGATAATTTTTTTAGAGAGCTGGTATTTGTACCCCCAAATTTGGTATTCGTATTCTCTATGATAGTAATTTCTGATAATCATGTGATCACATAATAAATCTTAACTACAAATCATGCTTACATGATATTTTCTTGTTGCAAACCAATGATATTACAAGATTAGGTATAATATTTCAAGATTAAGTATAATATTGCACGATCTGGAAAAATCAAAACTACCATTCATTTTAATAAAAATTGCATATAACTCAAAAATTTATATGCCTTTAGTGCACTAATAAAAAAATTTCCTAAAGTGATTTTACTAATATATCCTTACTATTATTTAATCATAATATAATGCTAACTCTAATATTAATAAATTAGGATTTTTATCATTGTCAGATGAGTGTGATTTTTTAGTAGCGATATTAAGGAAGATATAGATTTTATATGTGATTGGTCAATATTACTTCACATAACTCTTATATTACATACTGACCTGTGATTTACAGAAAAATATTTGATTGGTAAGTTTTCTAAATTTCAAATTAATAATTAAAAAAATTTTATTACTTTAATCAATAAAAGAAACTCAAAAAAAAATCTTTAAAATAATAAAAATTTTATATACTTAGTAAATAGATACATGTAACAGTAGTTTTATTATTAATCTTCATAATATCATCATATGTTGTGGAAATATTCTTGTTACTATGAAAGATCTTATCAATCTCATCATAAACTTTTTGTTTTACATTGGGATGCTTACAAAGCAAATATATCAAAAAACTTATATAATTTGTTGTTTAATTTAAATTTAATGTATTAAAATAGTATTAGTAATAGTCAGGCAGACATAACTAAAATAAAAAGTACTTACTGTGCTAGTATCAATAAAAGTTTCATAAATAATACTTTTTAGTTGCTTATTTTCAATTTTAACTTCTTTTAAAAAATTTAATTTAACTTCAATATTTGTACAAATTAATGTTATTAAAATGTCAAATCTGTGATTCTTATTTTTAATAAATTTTTTTTTTTTTCTATTAAGTTGTCAAAATAATTTTTTACCTACTTGTCATTTTTTAAGTATTTTTTTTTAAAAAGTTGAAAAGCAGAAGATAAGAAGCAATAAACTTTAGTATTATCCTATGAAAGAAAGCTAAAATAGCTAATAAATTCGAATACATTGCAAAACTAGACAAACTTAAGCATTAAACACAAATCTTTTACTACTAAAAAGCTTATATCAGTTTAAAAAAAACAGTAAAAAAAGTTTATTTAAATAAAGCAATCCTAAACAAAGACCTTTAGTCTATTATACAATTTGTAAGATCTAGTAAATAGCAGTATATTTTTGGTTTCTAAACTTGGTATTCTAGGCTTAAGATCTTTTTGAAATTTTTTTGCACAGTTTGCACAGTGAAGGTTAACACATTTTTATAAGTACTATAGTCATGATGCAAAAAAATCCAGTCCTAAAAATAATCTAACAACAGTGTTATCCTAATTTTCGACTATATATTAATATTTGCATTAATATGATATTAAATTTAATTTCTATAGCAATTGAAGTCTTTTGAGACTTCCTTTTTTTCATCTGTTTTTTTTATATTTGTTGCACATTTATCTTGCAATTGGCACAACCTTCAAATTTTTGTGACAAAACTATGTTACTCCTTTTCTATACCTGTAAATAACATTTGCAGTATTTTATTAGTAAAATGTTAAGTTCTAAAAAGTACTTTAAAACATCTAAATAAGTTACCAGAGCAATCAATTTATATTAGCCAATCAGACAATTTTTTTTCTATAAAGTGTGGCTTAAAGTATTTGAACCACATACAATTTAATTGAATTGCACATTAAAAATTATGAATTCGACAAATAATATGGCATAAAATACATCTTAAATATTGTGTTAACTTATATGTGAATTAATGCCCTATTAAACAAAACACATAAATCTTTATTAAATCAAGCATATCTGTATTAACATTGATTGTAGCATTCTGATTCTAAATGTTGTAGTTATTATACAAACTAATAAATCTAAAAATGTTCAATACAGAAATGTTGATTGTAATTAGGATAATTACAAAAAGGTTAACTTTAAATGTAAAATATAAAAATACCAAAAATATATAAACCAAGAATTTGCTTAATTTGAAAATCATTCTCTTTGTAGCATTTGTATTGTTAACAGTAAACTTGTACCTCTTTAGACTCAAAGAACTGCCTAAAATGGATAAATAGTGAAGTCCTGAATCGATTCTGCATGAGATCATAATTGTAATCACTAAGCCTCTAGAACAATTACTATTAACAGACCCAAAATGGTAAAACAAGATCTGCATTAACCTGATTAATAAATATAAAGACTAAAATAAGTTAATGGGTTAATATTGCCTTGTTGGATAAAGCTTGTGGCCATGTGGATGCATCTCCAATTGATCAAATAGCTGTAGAAGTAAGAAAGTTGGTTGGAAGCTAAAAAGGAAATATTGAATAAGCGAGAAGTAAAGGCTGTGAAAGTAAGAAATAAAGTGTTAAATCAAAAAGGAATAAAATGATTTGGTTTCTATAGGAAAATAATGTAAGAAGCTATAAGGAAACATTCAAAAAATTTTAGAAAATTATTATAAATAGATTGTAGGATTCTCTTTTGTAATGTATGTATCTTTTTTCACCCTAAAAATTAAATAAAATATAAATAAAAATCCTTTAATTTCTTCTTCAAAGAAATAATAAAGATTCTAAAATCATAAGTAAATTGTTCTTTCAGGACCCATTTACTTACCTTATCTAAATTCTCTTCGTAACACTTCTCAATTATTATCTTGGACTAGTGTTAAATCATTCTGCCTCTAAAACATTAAGGAACATTATACAGTATACTCAACTTTCAAGTGACAATTCATCACATTTCTTGGTTGTTTGTGTGTATGTATTTTAACTAATCAGCTAGTAACATTATTGATCTAAAACTTTTGCCAAATAAAATATTAACAAAATTGGCATATAATATAAACAGTTGATCCAAAATTTTAATAAAATAAAATATTAATCTGTGAAGCTTATAAGTAAAAAGGTTTTTCTCAAAATTGTAATAATATTAATAAAGAAAAATTGCTAGTCTCATAAATTGTTATAACTACGATTGAATCTCTAACCTATAACCTAAAGTTTAATAAAAAGTAGTTTAGTTATAAAGCTTAACGAAATATCATAATATAACATTGCCAGTAAAAGGAAATCATATTTTTTAATTACAACACCCTTTATAAATCCTACAAATCAATCTTTTTTCTTGAAAAAAAAAGCATGCTTCTACTGTCTTTATTAGTATACAACACTGCAGATGAACTTTTTCAAAGTGCCCAAGAATTCACAATCTCACAGGGTTATGTGTTAGTTAAAAAAAGAACTCACAAAGATAGACATGATGAATTAAAGAATATGGAATTATATTGTGACTAGGGTGGCATGTATAATAACTCCTTAGGGTTAACTGAAGAAATGTGCAGTAGACAAAGAAGCACCAGACTAATTGATTGTCTATTTAAGTTGTATGTGTCTTGACATATAGGCTTATAGTATCTAGAAATTCATAATCTAGTTCATAATCATAATCCTTCAAGTGATATGTCAGGATATCCAATTGCCTAAAAACTCATAGAACAGCAACTAGAAAGTGTTGCAGCCATGTTTACTGCAGGCTCACATCCTCAGAAAATTATTTTGACCCTTCACCAAAATGATGAATCGATGCTAGTTACTAATAATAATGTTTATAATGCATGCAAGCAGCTTTAGCAACAAAATTTGGCAGGCCGAACTTCAATTCAGGCTCTTGTAGATAAGCTTAAGAAAGAAAATTTCTTATATGATTATGAATATGATAATAACAGATCTGTAATTTATCTATTTTTTGCACACCATGAATCTGTTACTTTTAGTTGCCAATATCTATTCATGCTTCTCATGAATTGTACTTACAAAACTAATAAATTTAAAATGCCTCTATTAAATGTTATTGGTATAACTAGTCTCAATACTATCTTTTTTTTCTGTTTTGTCTTTATGAAAGGTGAAAATGAAAATGATTACAGATGGGCCTTAACACGTGTTGCCTGGTTGTTTAATAGAATATCGAAGCCTGGAATTATTGTGACAGACAAAAAGATAGCTCTTATAAATGCTCTTGAGACAATCTTCTCTGATTTAACAAATTTGCTTTGTATGTAGCACATAAGCAAAAATATCTTGAAAAATTGCAGATCACAGTTTTCAAAAGAAACACAAGATAATGAAAAGAATGAATAGAAAAATTTTCTTGAAAGATGGAATGACATTGTTAAATCAGAAACTAAAGGTGAATTCAATGAAAAATAGAAAAATTTTAGCACTAATTACAATAATAAAACCAGTGTTATATCCTATTTCGAAGAAATATGGATTTCATAAAAAACATGATTTGTAAAAGCATGGACAGATAAAACTTTTCACCTAGAAACACTTGTAACTTTACACATTGAAGGGTCACATGTGACATTTAAAGCATACCTATAAATGTCAACCAGGTTCCTTTATCAGATTTGTTCAACAATTACCTTAGTTGTAACTAACTAAAAAAAAGAGATTGATTCAAGAATTGAACATGAGCACATTAATATTCCAGTTTTTGCATGCAATAATCTGTTGTATGCAAATATTAAAGGTAGAGTTTCAACCTTCACTCTCAAAAAAATAAATAAACAGTATCAGAAAACCAAATTAAGAGAATTATTGCCACTATGTATTAGAACCTTCTCAACAATGATGGGCTTATCTTGTACTCATTATATTCAAAATTTTGAAGACAATCAAAGCATACCGCTTAATGACATTTATAGACATTAGTGGATTCAAGCACACACACCAGTGCCACAAATTGAAAAAAGCACTTCTCATAATGAAAACTTACTGCAACCTCTTTTACAGAACCTAGAACAAAGGTATCATGAATGGCCCAAACATCAGCAAACAGCAGTCAAAAAAATATTAAATGATATAATAGATACTCCATTAATGGCTTTGCAAAACCCCCAAGTAGTTCATACCAAAGGATGCCCTTCTGGTATACAAAATCGACAACCAACTAACACAACAAGATGCAATCCTTCTGGTTTGAGCTAGTTGATCATAATGTAAGACATTGTAGTATTTGTAAACATTCTGGTCACAATACTCGTACTTGTACAAATAGGAATACAGAAGAATAATTAGTTAGTTATAATTCATTATAGTTCATTTTATATAAACAGTTTTGTAAAATAATACTTAGTTTGTATAAATTCATGTTCTTGTTTGATAAAAGCTGCAAAAGTAAAGTATTAGTTATTTTGTTTTTTAATTTTGAGATGAGTTAATCAGATATAGCATTCAAATAAAATATAAAAAAATCCAAAGACTTTATTATTGTTATGGGTGAGTTAGTGACTTCTGTTATCAAACAACCTATTCAGATAGTGAGCACTATGTCAGGCATTTTTACAGATTCCCTTATATGAAAATAAGAAGTACAAACTATTTACTACAAGACTACAATCTTCTTAGACAAAGGTAACTAACTTTTATTTTATTTATTTCACTTTGCTTATATATCTTATTTTTAACTTTTCTATTACATCATTAATTTGTATACTATTTTGATTCAAATTAATTACATCACTAATTTCACATAATATTATTGACTTATTAATTAATCTTATTTCAATAGACTATTTCATGCTACTGTCTTTTATGCAACTGATCTGACATATTATATAATTTTTCAATCCTGATTAATCACTTCAAAAATGCCCAACTTGAAACGAAGATAAGTATTACTTATGTCTACCTTTTTTTTTTTAATTTAATTTATTATCTATTGTTCTAGAGCTTCAGATTAACACCTCTCACTAAATATACCATGTACTTATCCCACTATGATGTCAGTATATAAAATCGAATCCTGCTATTTTAATCTTAATTTCTAAGTGAAAAATGTAAACTTTAACAACACAGTAAAAGCGACACAATGCAATGCCAAATATTTAAGTTATTTATAATCTTATTTGTTAATGTCCTTCATCTTTGACTCTTTAATCTTGAGATTTTAGATTAAAAACATTTCTATTTTGGTATAACAACAATAATAAATAATCGTTTAATTTATTCATATGATAAGTGCAGTAGTATTAACCAATCATGTATAAGATCTATCACATGATCATATGATTATTGAAAATTACTGTTATGAGGATACAAATACCAAATTTGGGGAGTATGAATACCAGCCTCCTATAAATATTTGTTAATATGTTTTAATGCAGAATGTAATTTAGTAAAAGTGCAAACAAGATTTTAAAGCTATAAAGATATATTAAATATGATTGTTTATTATTTCTTTAATTTTTGCTAACCAAAAATTCCAGGTTTTATTTATTATTTTTTTATTCATATTTGGTAAGAGGGTATTTTGTATATTAAAAAAAGTCTTAAAGAATCTTTAAATTTGTTCTAATCTTCTAATGTCATTTTCTAAATTAGTATATTTTTCTTTTTTTTTTGTTTCTGTAATTTTTTTGTTGAAAAAAGTTAATATGCCAGATTGTATATAAAATACAATAGTTATTGTCTAAAATATATAAGAAATTAATTGATAATAAAGATTAAAATACTAGCAGTATATTAAAAGAAATCCAGAAATTATCTATTTGACTAGAAGTGGTTGGGCCATACCAAGTAGGCATTTAAATATTATAAAAAGTCAAAAAAGTTAGTTAAATTAACTGCATTCAGATTGGTAAATATTAAAAGGTATTTGTTTCTATATTAGTTAGCATTAAAATTAGCTAATACAATTAGATGCCAATTTATAGCTATAGCTTCTATAATCCAAGTTAGTACTTGTAATTGAGTATATTTAAAAAGAAATATATAATTTAAAAAAGGGTAAATTGAGATGATATAAGATTTGTTATTATTAAAAAAGAAAAAGTTAATACAAATTGCTATTTTAAAAAAAGTATTAATTTTGTAAATATATAATTGTAATTGATTAAAAACTATTAAGGCAGTTTTTAAGCTAATTTTTTATTAGTTTAATTTATAAAGTATAAAATTTAAGATATAAATCTTATATAAAAATTGGTTAGTAATCTTGTTATTGTTTTTTTTTAGTTTAGTTTCTGTAAGAGAAATTATATGCAAGTTTAGTTCAATGCAATATTTAATTTATGTTTGCATTTTAAGTATATTATTGATGCTTCTTATGTTATAAGTTACTATATTGACTTTTTTATTTAAATTAAGTTTAAGTAAAATTAAATCTTTATTTTTTATATCTTGAATGATATTACTAGTTTTGTTATTTGTGATAGTAAACTGTTTTGTATATTATTGTTGTTGTTAGTAGTATTGTTATTAATATTTTATTCTTATTGTATATTGGTATAATTATAATTACAGATATCTTATTCCAACTTAATAACAAAATTCTGTCACTATAATATTATCTATATATTATATAAGTGATTATTCAAAATTTTGCTATTAGTAGATTTTGAACTTATAATCTATTACTTTGAGATTAATAACTTATTTACTTTACCAAGTTATCACATCTTTATTATATAATTTTAATATATTAAATAAAAGGGTGTGGTGACTTAGTGAAATGGATAAGTTGTCATACTTCCAAGTGGTAGGTTGTGAGTTCAAAACCCACCAATGGCGAAATTTAAATAATCACCTATGTAATATATAGATGGTATTATAGTGACGGCATTCTGTCGATCAGTTGGGATAAGATACCTGTAACTATGGTTGCACCAGCATGACTGACAGGTTTGGGGCATCTGTGTAACCTGTTACACAGAGGAATGCAAACCGGTACCGGGCGGTGCAAACCTAAAATAAGTCCTTGG